GCCCCCCCGGGGCTGGCGGGTAACGGGGGACGCAGGTTTTCGTGTCCCGTGTCCCTGCTCTGGACAGAGCCCCGAAGCAGCGCTGCTCCTCCCTGGTGAAAGTGCCCGGTTCCCGGCTCAGAGCCGCCGCCGGCCCTGCTTCCCCTCCAGCCCAGGCACCACGCAGGTGCTGGTCCCGCTCCTGTTGCTTACTGGTAACGAGGTGCTACACGCTCGCCCGGGGTGCCGCGCTCTCAAATTGCCCAGAAAGCGTTGACTGACCTTCAGCATGGCAGTGCCCAGCTGGGGCTGCTCCCTGGTCATGACCTCCGGCCGGTGCTGCTGGGTTCCTGCCGGCAGCAGAGCTGGCCACACCGTTACTGCCTCCCCGGCAATGCCGCACAGCGTCGCGTGATGACGGTGACACCGTTGCTTCCCCGTTGATGGTGGAGGGATCATCCAGTCTGTCTTGGATCGGTGTTTTTACGGGAGGGAGCCCCGGTGACATCCCCAAGGCACCGAGCGTGGGGTGGGGGAGAGGAGAAGCATCAGTGGCCGGGGGGGACCTGGCCTGTTGGCTCGTGCCCTTCACGGGACTCATCTTCACGAGAAGCTCCCCGAAGGGTGCGCAGTGACCCCCGGCGCTGTGGCACCTCCGGGCTGCCGGAGACGGGGGTGGTCACACGGGGACCTCAGGGGACAGGGATGGAGGGAGCGAGGCGGCGGCTGGCCAGTGGTCACCACACTTCTGTGGGCAAATAATCCCTTAAGGGAGATTACCCCGATCGGAAGATTACCGGCCCTAATCCCATAAGGTCATTTGTTACAGATAACTGGGGAGAGCTCTTCCGTCTGCGGCAGCGTGTGCTAAAATAAGGCGGCTTCCAGGGGAGCGGTGGAAGCGAGCACTTGTGCACAGCATCCTGGCCGGGCTGGGAGTGATTCACGCTCGGGTTGGAGTTTTTCCTGACATCAACCAAAGGAGGCAGCGGGATTGGGGCTGGATGCCAATGCTGGAAAACGCTCCTTTTTCGGTGGGGGCGGCAGGCTGGAGATCTACAGACTGGATTGGGGGCCAGCGGCTTCCTATCCACCATCTCAGGGTTGGCTCCCGCGGAGTCCCGGCAGGACACGGGCACCGGGGTCGGCTGCAGAGCGGGATGCTAGACACGGGACGGGACATGGGACGCAGGATGCAGGACGTGGGTCTGCTTGTCTCCTGCAGCCTCACACGGCAGCATCCACCGCGGAGTGATTGGCTTCTGCTTTCTGCCAGGCATGAAGGCAGCATTTGATCCTTGTTGCTTTGATGGGATCAGAAGAGAAGAGTGCCTGATTCTCATGACGTTTGCTGGGACCCTAACTAGAGCTGGAGCTACATTTACCTCCCAGGGGGACACAGTTTTCAGACCAGTGACAAAACCTTCTGTGGGCAGTGAAAGCCCCATCTGTCTGTCCTGCCGCACACGCACAGACACGGCCTCTTGAGACTGGGGTTTGGCTGCAGAGCTCGGAGCTGGAGGTGGTGCTTGGGAAGCACGGCCTGGCTGGGTGGTGACTGTCCCCTTCAGCGGGCTGGAAACCTTCTCCCACCACCTCCACCAGCAGCCCTCACGCTGCCCAGCGAGGCGAGGGGGAGGGAGCGCTTTGAAAGCCTGTGCGGGAGGGATGGGGATGGGGATGGGGATGGGGATGGGGATGGGGATGGGGATGGGGATGGGGATGGGGATGGGGATGGGGATGGGGATGGGGATGGGGATGGGGATGGGGATGGGGATGGGGATGGGGA